AACAACTAATTTAAAGACAAAAGACAACCAGAATTAGAATAAACCAAAAAATATTGAACTTTATGGAACTCCAACAACCAAGAAGTTAAGAAAGAAACATTCCTCCAGACTGGTAGGAAGGTGGAGATGGGCAGCCAGGGTGGAGAAGACATGTGGTAAAGTGGCACCTGGTAGACTGGGTGGGTGAGGTGGCAGCTGGCAGACTGGGCCATCCCACATTTGTTTACAGATAAACTGGGAGGAACAAATGGGGAGCAAGACAGACCACGCAACCCAGGGTTCCAGTGTGGGAACAGAAGGCCTGTGAACCTCTGGCTATAAAAACCTTGGTATTTGTGGCAACAGGAGAAACAACCAGCCTCACAGGAGAGTACTTTGGAGGGGCCCACAGGGCCCTAGAACATACACAAGCCCACCACCTGGGAATCAACACTAGAAGGGCTTAATTTGCTTGTGGGTAGCAGGGGAAGTGACTAAAAGTGGGGCCAGAGCCCAGCAAATGATATCGTTCCCTCTCTGACCCCTCCCCCATATACAGCACCATAACAAAGCAAACTGGGTTACCCTGCCCTGGCAAATAGCTCAGGATCCTCTCCATACAAGATAACAGGTGTGTGGAGACAAAGAAATACGGTCCAAATGAGGAAATAAAGCCTCAAAGCCTCTGACTGAAAACACCTGTGGGGGCTGAGGTGGTAGTGGAAGAAACTCCCAGCCTCAGGAGAGTTTGTTGGAGAGACCAACAAATCTAGAATGTGCACAAACCCACGCACCCAGGAATCAGCACCAGAGGGCCCAATTTGATTTTGGGTAGTGGAAGAAGTGACTGAAAACCAGCAAAGAGTGGAGCAAAGGTCACTGTTCCCTCTGGGACCCCTCTCCCACAGACAGTGCCACAATACAGCCATGTGGGTTGTCCCACACTGGTGAGCACCTACAGCTCTGCTCCTTACTACTTAACAGATGTGCTGAAACAGAGTAAAAAAAAATGGCACAAATGAAAGAACAGATCAAAGACAACTAGAAAAAATACAACTAAGTGATAAAGAGATAGCCAACCTTTCAGATGCACACTTCAAAACACAGTCAGGATGCTCCAGAAACTCACTGGGTAATTCAACAGCATAAAAAAGACCCAGGCAGCAATGAAGGTTGCATTATGTGAAATAAAGAAAAATCTACAGGGAGCCAACAATGACAGAAAGGAAACCACGACTCAGATCAACGGTTTGGAGCAGAAGGAAGAATTATTCAACCAGAACAGAATAAAGAAACAAGAATTCAAAACAATGAGGAGAGGCTTGGGAACCTCCAGGACATCTTTAAATGTTACAACATTCAAATCATAGGGGTGCCAGAAGGAGTAGAGCAAGACCAAGAAATTCAAAACTTATTTGAACAAATAATGAAGGAGAATGTCCCCAATCTGGCAAAGGAAATAGACTTTCAAGAATTCCAGGAAGCTCAGAGAGTCCCAAAGAAATTGGACCCAAGGAGAAATACACCAAAACACATCATAATTATATTACTGAAGATTAAAGATAAGGAGAGAATCTTAAAAGTAGCAAGAGAGAAAGATAGTTACCTACAATGGAGTTTCCATTAGACTGTCAGCTGATTTCTCAGAAGAAACCTTGGAGGCAAGAAGGGGCTGGAAAGAAGTATTTAAAGTCATGAAAGGCAAGGACCTACATCCAAGATTACCTTATCCAGCAAAGCTATCATTTAGAATGGAAGGGCAGATAAAGTGCTTCCCAGATAGGGTCAAGTTAAAGGAGTTCTTCATCAGCAGCAAGCCTTTATTATATGAAATATTTAAGGGACTTATCTAAGAAAAAGATCAAGAATATGAATAGTAAATGACAACAAACTAACAACTATCAACCACTGAACCTAAGAAAACAACAACAACCACAAAAAACAAAGTAAACAACTAGAATAGGAACAGAATCACAGAAATGGAGAGCACGTAGAGGGTTATCAGCAGTGGTGGGGGGAAAAATGGGGCAAAGATACAGGGAATAAGAAGCATGAATGGTAAGTACAAAATAGACTGGGAGATTTAGAATAGTATAGAAAATGCAGAAGCCAACGTATTTATATGTATGGCCCATGAACATGAGGTGAGTGGGGGGAGGTTCCAGAGGGAAGGAGGGTACAGGATGGAGGTGGATAAAGGAGAGAAAAAATGGAGCAACTATAGTATCATAATCAATAAAATATACTTTAAAAAAAGAATAGTAGATTTCTGTTCAATGAAATGCTGCTGTAGATACTAATACTAATATTAATAATAGATATTGTACTTACCCAGATCGTCTTGCAAATTTCTTCCACATAAATAAGTGGGAAACTATGTATTTCAGTGAGGAAAATGTCTAATGTTTTTCCTCCTGTGATGTCAGAGAGAGACATTTTATTCTTTTGGTTTCTATGAAAGCTTATTTTCCTCTCCTTTTATCTCTGAAACAGCATGGTGTGGGTGTCTCAGAAATGGGTGTCAAAACTAGCGGATAGGGAGAGCAAGCCTGTGGTCTGCTTTTAGTTTCATTTTCCTAGATCTAAGTTTATTTATAGAATGATTTTTCTTGCCAAAATTTTGCTTTGTTTTGTTTTTGGTAAGCCTTTACTCTGCCACCTTGTGGTCTGTCTGGTTAAAGTCCAAAGGTGTCAAATCTGTTCTCTGCTTCAGAGTGTTGAGGACTGCAGGCAGCCTGCTGTGCTGGCTACAGACAAACTCTGGGGCAGGCTGAGTGGATCCTCTGGGAACACCCATTTTCACTGTGGTTGGGAGCCCTGGGGAGTCTGGGTAGGAAACAGCTTATGTTGGTCTTCCACTGGCCTAGTGTGGGCTAACTTACATCCAAATGTTTTCTTAAAGTGTAAAGGAATACTAATGAACATTGAACTGTGTACTTGACATGGGAGAATTTTAAGGTATGTGAGTTACCTCAATAAAATGTTTAAATTTGCCTCCTCAAAGAACCTACTGAGTGGTAGACACATAACTTACACTGTCCACTTTAATCCTCATCAGATGCTTGCAAAGCAAGTTTATTTTGCTTATCTTACAAATGAGAAAACCAGGGCTCTACCTGACCTGTGCGCACCGACTGGATGAATAACTGTCACCTTTAGGCTTGCACTGTAAGCCTGTCTATTTTCTAAGTATGAACTTTCCCCACTGTCTGTCTTGGTTCACTCTGTTTCCACATTAGAAGACCTACTGGCGTAAGCATTTCTCCTGCTGCTATCAGTTGTGAGTTAATCTACCTTCAAGAGTAGAGCTGGTGGTTTTCGGAGTAGGTGGAGATCAGAACAGGCTGTAGATAACCCAAAAGCATAGAGTCCTCATGAGTAGGGAGTTGAGGAAAGGTGTGGTAGCTTTACCACACAGTATCAAACAAATAGCCAATGGAAGAGAAAAGGGAGGGAATTTGAAGAAAAGAATTAGCTAAAAAGTATTGTTTTAATTTTTCATGGCCTTCCCTGAGCAGAAGTTGTATGCCCATGGTTTTCAAATAGAGATGGGGAAAATCGGATGAACTGGAATTGAAGGCTAAGTTTTCCTGTAGGTGGAACACAAGTTCACCTTTGAGGAAAGACTAGGTGTTCTGATTTTTGGAAAAGCACTTTAATGGGCTCTTTGATTCTAGAAGAGTAAAGCCTAGAGTACCTTCTGAAATGGGGAGATGAACTTCTCTGGATAATGATGTAGAACCCTGCCCTCATTGTGGGTGGGATGACATCCCTGCAGTTTATATTTCTTTTCAGAAGCACAGTTCTTTCTGGGGCCCTTAGAGGGCTGGCACCCTAGTCTGTGAGTGAAGGCTTCCTGTTTAGGGGTTGTCTCATCTGGGAGCATTGAGCCAGGGCCACCCTACATCACAGCTGTTGAAAGGGGGCTGAGGAGAGGGAGGCCCCTTGATAAACTGTGTATGGGAGCTGGGCCTGTAAACTTGGAGGGAACTCATAGATAGCAGGAACACATAACAGTTTTTCTTCCTTCTCTTATAACTTTGTTTCCTCTCATGTCAAGCCTTCAGCTCAGTGTTGCTAAGTACTGTAGCCTGGATTTAACTGAGTTATGAAGGGTTAAGGGTCTGGCCTATGAAGATTTGGGGAAGTGAAGCCACTTGGGAGAGCCCGCTGCCAGCTGTACAGGTGATTGCAGAAGAGGCAGGCAGCAGTTTGAAGCAGGATCAGCAGCTGATGTGGCTTCTAGCAACAGGGACATGTTTGTGGACCATATGAGTACTTCCCAGAGGTTCAGAGGAACTGGTGAGAGGAACCCAACTAAGAAACAGCCATCTAGATGACAAGAGGAATTGGGTTTGAGGCCTGGAATTTCTAAGTTACATTACAAGGAGATGTAAAATAATGGATAAATAAATATGTATTTAATTAGTATTCAATTTATGTTAGCGTGTATTTCACTTCATAGGCAATAGATGCCTGCTAAAATCCAAGCCCTAGAAAACTGTTTGAGGCCCTTCCGCCCCGGGAAAGTCTAAGAACAAGCTTCTGGGATGGCCTTCCTGGTGCTGGCAAGTTCAGAGCACACAATATCATGAGAAAGTCATCTAATTGGGCAGGGTTTACATTGGTCAGGGAAGACTTCCTGGTGGTTGGTTACTAGAACTGAGTTGTGATGGAGAAATCAGAACAAGTGTATACTGAAAATGGATTAAAACAAGGGAATATTTGAGAGAGAGAGAACAGCATTCACAAAGCACAGGTTGAGAAGTAAAGAGAGTAAATTGGGTAGCAAATGAAAAAAGCCAGAGATGGGACCCAAAGAACAGGTGGAGGTAAAACTGTGTTGACAGGTGGCAAGAATGGACAAAGAAATGGTTTTATTTGTAAATGGGAGAAGAGGATGATAGAGCTCAAGCTTGTGACTACTTGGTTGTCTTCTCTCTGCCTCCAGCACAAAGTGAGGAACTGAGAGAAGGGCAAAGGATACAAGGAATGGGTGTGTGTGTGTGTGTGTGTGTGTGTGTGTGTGTGTGTGTGTGTGTGTGTGTGTGGAGGGCTACATGGAGGTAAATAGTCACCTTCCACATAATACACACTTGCTGACACCAAGGGGAGGGAAGTGGCCCTCAGAGTGGATCTCTGAGCCAGAGTTCAGTAAGCTAACGAGGGGGGCTCTCTCTCCCATGTTCATTTCACATCTCTGCTTTCACAGTGAGTAAATAGTTCATAATTCAGAAAGTTCATAGTAGTGATAGAATTAAAACAGACTTTATTGATCTATAACCAGTAATGCTGTGACCAGTGGACATGAATTAAAACCTCTTAATTAAATGTTATTCTGAAAGCACATCTTTAAAATATTGAAAGTTGACTCCACTGTGTGCCAAGCTCTGTTGTGTAGACATTTTTCATGCCTTACCAAGGCTTATAATTCATTTGGGGAGATAAAGCCAAAGTGTGTGACAGAGGTATCCCTGTCATCACAGTGTCATGGGAATAGAGGAACTAAGTTCAGAAACAAATATGAAATAGCATATTTAAGCTTATATCTTTTTAATGTGTATTTCATTGATTATGCTATTACAGGTATCCCAGTTTTCCCCCACTGTCTCCCTTCACCCAGTTCCCCCTTCCCTCCAGTGATTCCCTCTGCTTGGGAGGGAATTTATGTCCATGGGCTGTAAATGTTAAGTTCTTTAGCTTCTCCATTGCCTATACTCTTCCTAACATCTCTGTCTATTCTGTACCTACCAATTATGCTTCTGAATCTCTATCTTCCCCCCCCATCTCCTCCTTTACTTTCCCAGATAAATCTCCAAATGATCTCCATATCTATTCCTGTGTAGTTGTTTGCTTAGTTTTTGTGTGTTTTTTAGATTCAGCCATTGATGGGTTGAATTTGTTGTCACTTTAATGTTCATAGATTTGATCTTCTTCTTTTTCCTAAATAAGTCCCTTTAACATTTCATATAATAAGGGCGTGACGATGATGAACTCTTTAGCTTTATCTTACCTGGGAAGCACTTTATCTACCCTTCAATTCTAAATGATAGGTTTGCTGGATAGAGTAATCTTGGTTAAAGATTACTTTAGGTCCTTGATTTTCATAACTTTGAATAATTCTTGTCAGTCCTTTTTGCCTGCTAAGTTTGTTTTCAGAATCAGTTGACAGTCTTATGGGAACTCCTTTGTAGGTAATTCTCTGCCTTTCTCTTGCTGCTTTTAAAATTTTCTCTTTATCTTTAACCTTTGGCATTTTAATTATGATGTGTCTTGGTGTGGTCCTCTTTGGGAGTCCCTGTGCTTCCTGGACTTGTATGTCTATTTTCTTTGTCAAATTAGAAAAGTTTTCTTTCATTAGTTTTTCAAAAGTGTTTTTCATTTCTTGCTCTTCCTCTTCTCCTTCTGGCATCTCTAATTCAGATGTTGGCCCTTTTGGAGATGTCCCAGAGTTGTCTTAAACTTTATTCTCTCTCTCTCTTTTTTTTGTTTTTTTGAATTCTTGTTTCTTCATTTTTTGTTCTGGTCGAATGTTTATTTCTTCCTTATGTTCCATATCATTCATTTGAATCCTGGCTTCCTTTTCTTCACTGTTGGTTTCCTATGGATTTTTCTTTATTTCTCTTAGTAGAGCCTTCATGTCTTCCCTTATGCTTTTGCTGTATTCAGTGAGATCTTTGAGCATTCTCACCACCAGTGTTTTGATCTCTGCGTCTGATCACTTAGTTTTTTTTTTCTGGGGTTGTGTTTTGTTCCTTCATTTGGTCCATATTTCTTTGTCTCCTGATTTTGGCAGCTTTTTTGTGTCTGTGTGTTAGGTACTTCCAGTTTGATTTTGTTTTCAGTGTACATGTTAAGTTATATGGGGAGGAGCCTTGAGCATTCACTAGTATGGGGCAACCATGGTTCTATGCATGGGGGAGGTATTGAAGAGGGGACAATGCTGCTACTGGCTCACTTCTGGGGGCTTGTGAGGACCTCGCCTCATTTCCAGTCACTTCACCCACTCTTCCTGTATGCACTTGGCGCCCCTTCACCCAATATCCTGGTGGTTTCCAAGGTGGGTGCTTTTGTATATCTAATGGCAGTTTCTTCCTCCACCATAACCCCCTACAGTGGGTTTACAACCAGAAGTTATACAGCTTTATCTTTCCCAGAGCTGAAGCCCTGGGCCATATGGTGTGACCTAGAGCTGAAGCCCTTGGCCACATGGTGTGACCTAGAGCTGGACTCACTGGCTCAAAAGATGTCCCCCTGATTTTTATCCATCACACATGAATGTGGGGCTGCCCATTCCACTGGCTGCCACCACCTGTCTGCCTCTCCAACTCTCCACCTTGACTCCCCATTTCTACTCCTACTCACTGGACGAATATAGCTTCTTTAAATCCTTGTTTGTCAGACTTTTCTAGAGGTCTGGGGTTTTTTCTGGGTGATTTTCTGGCAGTTCTGGGTGTTCTTCATTTCTAGGTCAGTTGTCTTCCTTCTTATGATTATGAATTGCGAAGAGGCATGTCTATCTACCCCTCCATCTTTACCAGTGAGGTAATATGTCTACTGATATAATTTTATATCGTATGCTAGAGGGCCTTCAATGGAAAAGCCAAGGTAGAAGGACACTCTTTCTATGTGGCCTCCACTTCTGAGTGGACCTGAATAAACAGATGTTACTGGTATTTTTATTTTTTTTTCTGTTCCATATTCGATAGAGATTTTCTTGCCTTCAGCCAGACCAGTGAGTCGACGCAGGAGGTCTTTGACTTCCTCTTTTTTCCATACATCTCCACTCTGCCAGAGGGAATTTAGATTTTGTACTTTCGTGAAGTGCTGCTCTATCTCTGCCTTGTGAACAAGACTGTTGAGCCCCCTCCTCTTCCCCAGGTAGAAAAGTGTGCTTGCCTGCTTGGACCTGCACACTTCTCCGGTACTGTCTATTGAAGGATCTATTTAAGGATGAAACGTACTTTTCCAGTAGCCTGGCATCTTCATCTACTTCATTTTCTGGCCAGAACAGCAGGCAGGCCAAGAAATAAGGGTCTGGATATGGATGACTTAGTTCTACGAATTGTAACACTTCTCGAAGCTGTTTTTTAAGTTTGTTAAGTGGCTGAATGGACTTGGAGTGGGGTTTTAAACAATTAAGAATAATGTTGGCCAAAATGAAATTTTGTTTCTCCTTTGCCAGCCGTTTTTGTGGATTTTGCTGAAAGAGGAAAGTGTACTGCTTCACTATGTTTTCCATATTGGTTGCAGCATCTTTGTGATTAGGGTTAAGATATTCTAGAAGTCCAGAAAACTTATCTGCTCTCAAAGCTTCTAGACTTTCCCTACAAGTCTCCTCTTGGAGTAACTGACTCTCTTTGCTTTGTAATGAACCAAAAACCGAAGGGCAGAAAAGTTCCACGTATTTCCTGAAATGACAGCTGATTTTCTTGCTTAATGAGAGTTCAACTGTTTCTTTTAGGGTATTCCTTGTTTTTAAAAGAACCAAATAATCAGTAAAAAAGTCAAAGCACTTCTTCATATCTGACTGCAAGTTTTGTAAGTAGGATGTGAAATTGTTAAGAACCAAATAATATTCATTTTTTGGATCTGTAGGAATATTCCCCTTTCCTGATAAAAATGCTGCCATAGATTTTTTAGATGATTCTTCTTCTTTGTGGAAACAGGGAGTGAGCTGAAGAATCTGAATAGTGTAAAGACCAACTTCGACTTCACCCAAGAAGCCAGAAGTATTATACATGTCATATTTTCTTTGGGACTTCTGTGGGTACCAGGTCTCTGTTTCATAGTTTGCTGCTGGGATTTGCTCCTGTCAGTTGTCTCCTGGGATTTTTTGAAAGCTCTTGCTGCATTTTCAGCAGCTTCCAGGAAATGTGTTAGATCATTAACGGTGATATCCCTGCAGTTTTTGTTTTCATCCAGCCACCATTTGATTTTACTTTTGTACACCTGGCCAAGTGTATCTGAGATAAAGGAGTTTTTAGGGGCTTTCTTCTTGGCCTCTTTTGCCCAATAGAGAGCATTGTCAAAGTCTTTCTCTTTAATGTAGAAATGTCTTGCTAAGGCCTGACAAATGAATGCATTCTGTGGGAAGCGAACACTTCCTTGTTTCAAGACCTTTTCGACTTCATCATTCTGTAAAGCTTCAATTAATGGAGAAAACAAAGTGTCCGCTTCATCTCCACATTCTTTGCGCTGTCTTGTAAGCAGAAGGGTTTGCACGTAGTGTTGGAATTTATCTTTTCCTATTCCAGAATCATAGAATAAATTCTCTCTCAATAATGTCAATGCAATTTGACATTTATCCAAGTGGTATCTCCTTTCCAGCTCTTTGAGACAGCAACTGGCAACCAGAGGGTGAATGATGCGCACACCTGCATACCCGCCATATTCGGCGACTTCTGTGTTGATTAGAAGTGTCGAATAGGTTCCCATCTTGTCTTCTATGCTTTCAGGTTTCCAGGGAGTACGAGCACATGTGATTCCCAAAAATGTTTCACACTGTGACACTGAAATTGTAAAATCAGTAACATAAGAGTTGAGTAGAGCCAGGAAAGAAATAAGTTGCGCCTCCTTGCTGTCAATATTCTGTCCTTTTAGGATATTCTTGACTACATTTTCTACATATGATTTATCAAAATTTTCTTTCATGATCATGAAGGAATAAAAGTTTTCACAGTTCTTATGTTGCTTTTCAATTTCCTCAAGTTTGGCCTCAAAAGCTCTTTGTTCCTTGGCTGAAAGCTGGTGTTTTAGTGCAATACTGTCTGCTAATTTTGCACTTTGATCAGGATTCTGGGATCTCATGCAGTTTAAGACGATTACCAGTGTTTTTTCATATCTCAAACCATTTGCTACTAAAATGGAATGGATCCTATCCTGTAGAATATAGACATTTTCCTGTTCTTCAAGATCATCCACCAGGAGAAGTACAGGAATATAATCCTGATGGCTGGTAGCCTTGTAGGTAAGCAACTTGAACACTTGTTCTGCAGTTTCTGCAAAATCGGTTCCTTTGTTTTTTAACACAGCACACCTGTAGTATTTCTTTAAGTCCCAGAGGACATTCATGGCCAGTGTAGTACCCCCACAGCCTGGATGATGGTAGAGATTGATAATTTTTACAAATAATGGTTTAGGAGACTCTGCCCAACACTGTATCAGATCTTTAAGGTTTTTGTAATTGTCTCTTTTGACAAAGGCTGAAGAATAGTTTTCAGAAGAAAAATAGAAATTCCACCAGGACACTTTGCCACCTCGATAAAAGTGCTCTTCTTTTGTTTTCTTAAATTCTTGGAACTTAGGTTTGTTTTTCTCAATATCTGTGTCTTTACACTCATTTTCACAGAGAATTTCCAGTGCGGTCAAGATATCCTCTTCTTTTTTGTCTAAGATAGCGGAAGAAGATCCACAGGATGGCAGGAACCGTCTTGATGACTGAGTGACTGGTTTCAGTGTAAGGATAGTACTGTTTATCAATTCTAAATTTAAAGTGGAAACACTGTGGTCTTCTAATTCATCTGCAGTTGTCAACCTGGCTTGTAGTAGATCTTTCCATCTTTGATAAATCTGTGAGTTTACACAGATGCACAATATACTTTCCATTCCTTTGAGATCTTGGTAGAAAGCAGAGAAGGTTTCAATGAGTGGGTCTCCTGGGCTTTGCACTGGAGAGAGCAATAGAAACACCACCAGAAATTTCCCTTTTGTCATGAGATTTTTATCTGTGAGAAATGAAATCAGTTGCCTGACTCCAGAAGCCCTTTCTCTCTGCCATAAATGTGGTTCTAGAGGCTTATACTTTTCCTCTTTCAAGTCTGATCTGCCATTGCAGAAGATCCAGCTGGGCTGATCATAAAGATTCAGACGAGATATTGTCTCCCCTATGGCAGCTGTCTTTTCCTCATATTGACTTGGAAAGTGAAGATTTGCAACCCGGCTTTTTTGGTAAGCTTTGGCCACCCCCTTGCTCTCAGATTCAGGATCAAAGTCCAACACAGCAAACCATTTAATTTCCTTTAGGAAATCTAAGTTCTCTGTTTGGTTTGGATGGCATTTATTTGTTACAAGAATATACCAATTGTAGTATGAATTATCCAGTGACTCTTCGTTTCCTATGAGAAGTTTAACCAGCTTTTGTCCTTCACTCTCTTTCTTATTTGCCCGGGCCTCATACTTCTCTTCAGCTTCTTTTCTAGATACTGCTAGTGACTTTACCTTTTCAAAAAGTGCTTTAAATTCCACATCCCGTTGCTTGATATTGGCCCAGATGTCCTTTGAGCTAGCCCCTTCTCTCACAAAGAGTGAAAGTTCTTCGCTTTGTTTCCATGTTTCATTTTGAAGGGTTTGCATCATAATGTAGAAATACTTTTCTTTACATACAGAGTGTTTTGGAATAATATCTACCTCAATGACAAATCTGTCAGATGGTGTATTGTCCTGCAGGAGGACTTCCACAAACCTTGGCTCCCGAATGCACTTCTTGGCTTCATTGATCTCACTGTCTTCAAAATATTTTTTGATCATTTGATTGAAGTGGTCAATGAAGGCAGCTTTACTGGTGACTTTCACACCAACTATTTCTCCATGGGGTTTGTCCTTGACCCCAAAATGGATGGTGCCATTGGCACGTGAATTCATACAAGCTGATGCAAATCGGAAGACTTCATTGCTAAATTTCATCTTAATGTCCTTTTCTGTGGCTGTGTCTGTGTTTGTGAGGGCTTTGTACTCGTGAATGGGGTCTATGAGGTTGCCTGGTCCTGTTTCAGGTGGTAGAAGGTAATGTTCTATGTACTGATGGCTGCTCTGGGGCTGATCAAAAGGATGTGGCATACAAGTCAACTGCTCAGGTTTTAGCTTCTTATTTTGTTTGTCTTCAGTGATTGCTACTTCATTTAATACATTTTCTGTCATAAGAACTGATTCTTGTTCTTTGGTATCTCTGGTCTTGCTGAGATTAGGATCCCTATTGGATGACACTGATTTTTCCTGTTCTTTTTGTGGCTGTTGTATCTTTTTCTGGTGCTCTTTTTTGCAGGGTTTTCTGTGATCTACTTGTCCAGAATTGTGGTTGTGATTTTCAGGGAGACCACTACTCAATTTGTCATATGCTCTCTTTATCAGAAGTGCTGGGCCCCATGGTAGCCCCATGTCTCTAAGATCCTTTTCAGTTAATTCTTGCAGGACTAATCCTGTCACTTCTTCATGGAACAGAATCTGTCCATATTTTTCCTCAATCTCAAGGTCTTTGGTTACCCATTGTTTCACGTGCTCTTTGTTCCAGTCTTTGGTCATTTCAGGTAGATTTACTTGTTCACCCATATGAGAGATGCAGCCTCCTTCCTTGGATAAAGTAAGACAGGAAGTATTTTAGTGTGGTACTTTATCATTGAAGTCATGGAATCAGTTATACATGTAAAAATTCACATAAACAACATATACAAATACTGTTCAAGATTAATTCTTATACTGCTTGGTACTTATGTTAATTGTTTTATATTCCAATTAGTGCCCTTGTTTTCTGGATGGTTATAATGGGATTACAATATAAGCATCAGCTTTTGTAATTGTGTACTAGGGTGACACATCCCTGTATCCTTATTTTTCCTTTTGACCCAGCAATTCCACTGCTAGGAGTATATCCTAAGAATCCTAAAACATCAATATCAAAGAACCTATGCACCACAATGTTCATAGCAGCACAATTTACAATAGCCAAGAGTTGGAAGCAACCTAGGTGCCCATCAGTAAATGAATGGATCCAAAAATTGTGGTACATATACACAATGGAATTCTATGCTGCAGAGAGAAAGAAGGAGCTACTACCTTTTGCAACAACATGGATGGAACTGGAAAGCATTATGCTGAGTGAAATAGGCCAGGTGCTGAAAGACAAATACCATATGATCTCACCTTTAACAGGAAGCTAAACAACAAAACAAACAAGTAAGCAGAAAAAAAAACCCCAAAAAACAAAGACACTGAAATAGAGAACAAGGGGATAGTGACCAGAGGGGAGAAGGAAGGGAAGTTAAGGGGAAAAAGGGGGGAGGGATTTGGAGGAACAAATAGGGAAGGACACAGGGACGAGAACTAAGGGTGGGGGGAGGAAATGGGAGGGAGGTGGGGAGCAAGGGGCAGGGGAGGCTGGGATGGGAAAAACAGACAAAAAACTGTACTTGAAAAATAACTAAATAAAATTAAAAAATAAAAAAAAATAAAATAAAAAAAAAAAAAAAGAAAAGAAATGACATTTTCAACCTCCAACCCTGACCTTCCAACCCCAAATCCGAATTTAAAAAATGAATCAATAATGTTGTTTACATAAGGGAAAACAAGGGAGGAAAAGTATTATAAAGATAGACTAAAAGCATTAAGGTTCAGGCAAAACAAAATATTATGTAAAGGGAGGAAATACAAACTTTTAAAAAACTTTGGGGTTTTTTAAGTGAATGATTTAAGGGACTAGGTTTTAAAAACCTGTAGTTTATAACAGGTAATAAAACCTAGCCAATTGAAAATTTGACCCATCTGTGTTTGGGACTGATTCCTGGTGAAGTCTCCTGGAGGTCAAACGTGAACAGTGAGCTAAACTGAGGCCTCAGCCTGCAGCCCTATGACTTGCCAGAGAAGAAACTCATGCTCATCATTTCTGGTGTGAATATCATAAGCCTACCCAAATCCTCTACCCCTTTTATAGGTGCACATCCACAGGGCATAGGAGCTCTACTTGCCTTGAAGAAACTTGTCTTGGTGCCTTAGTGCGTTGAATCACGTTATTCTGACTTCAGTCTGTAGGGCACACCTAGTGCTGAGCCAGGTAGCTTTGACAATTTTAAGCACCTGGAAAAAATGAACATTATAAACATATCTCAGGTGATCAGTCCTGTTTATATACAGTGTAGATGGAAGAGATATTAGAGGTCCACAAATATCAGTGCATATATTGTCACTAGAAATAAGTATTATTTCACCCTGAATTGTGTTACTTGTTTATTCATTCAACAAGTATTTATTGAGCACCTGTTAGGCTTCATACTCAAGAGAAACAGTAGTGACCAGAAGAAATGTGAAGTTCCTTCAGAGTACTTAAAATCTAATGAAGGAAAAAGCACACATACACACACACTCACTCAAAAGACTTCATCACAATGACAAGTTGTGATAAGTACTTTGTGTAAGATATAGTAAAGGCCAGGGAACTGGGACCTGTGAGTAGGAGGGGAGTATCACTTGGAGCACAGTGGGGACATTGGGCAGATGAAGTTAAAGGAGGACTGCAAGTATAGGGTGTGAGGCAGGTCGAGGGACATAATTGTGGCATATGGAATTGGATCTGGTAGACTACCAAAGGTCTGCCTGGTAGGTATGAGGAGTATTGGTGAGGTGGTGCTCCAACCACAGGCAGCAGCTGCTTCTCCCAGAGCCAGGTACTGGTCCTGCTGGAGAGAGTTCTGGGCAGAGGACATCGCAGACAGTAGATGTCTCCTTGACCAAGGGATCCTGGGAGGCTCCTCCCTGATCCTCCTGTCTCTCCTGCAGTGGCCATAACTCTCACCTCAGGTGAGACTGAAGGGAGGGGCTTTGCCTCACATGTTTATAAGCACTATATAGAGCCAATAGTATAAGCAGTTATTATTAAACGTATTTCTAGTGAGAGATTTTTGAGGTTACTAGGAGAAAAAGCAGAATAAAAATATGACTACCATGTTATTTTAAACTTTGGTGTTGAAATATTACTTCTTTAAGAATTTGCTGAATACTCGCTTTTTATAAATTTTAGTATACTGGGTTTGTTAAAAAGTATGTTTAGCTTTTTTCATAAAATAGAAGACATGTTTTTCATTTTCATCAATGACTTTATCGGTTTAGAAATTTTTAAAATATGTTTTATTGATTGTGCTATTGGATAGTCCCAATTTTTTTCCCTTTTCCGCACTCCACCCACTACCCCCATTCTCTCTAGCAATACCACGCTCCTCCCCAAAGTTCCTGTCCATGAGTCATGCATATAAGTTATTTGGCTAGTCTATTTCCTGTACTGTTCTTGACATATTCCTGTCTGTTTTGTACCTACCAATTTGTTCTTTTTAATCCCTGAAACTTTCTCCCCATTTTTTCTCCCCCCCAACTGAGAACTTTCCAAATGATCTCCGTATACATGATTCTGTTTCTATTTTTCTTGTTTGCTTAATTTGTTTATTAAATTCAATTGTTGATGGTTATCAGTTTACTTTCATTTTAATGTTCATACTTTTGATCTTTTTCTTTTTGAGTATGTCAGCTATCTCCTGCATGGTAGAACCTTCATGGTTCTCAATTAATGTCTCAATTTGATCACTGTCAACTTCAACTGATCTACCTAAAGCATCATCCAGAGAGATATCTCCAGCACAATATTTCGCAAACCACTTTTGATAGGTTCATTCAGTCATAGCACCTTCTCCATATACACTGCACAAATCTTTTTTGTATGTTTCAGATGCTTTTTTACCTTTCTTGAAATAGTAAAACATACTATGTCAAAATGTTGCTTATTTCCTTCCATCTTCAATATGAAAATAGCTACACAAAATTTACCAATTTTGATTTTTTTTAAATGCATACTGTCACAACATTCTTACAAAGTTGTTTGAGTGAAGTTAAAGACAACTGAGCACTACTAGAGCCATGTTACAGAAAATAACCCAAAATGAACTTTTCAGCCAGTGCAACATTTTGGCCTCTGTTCTGTAGACAGCTGAAGGGAGGAGGCACTCATGCCCTCAGACACTATTCCTGTCATAATTCGTGGTGGCTCAGTAGACATGTGGATGATCATTTCAGTACTTTGGACTTTCACCTTCTTGTCTGCTTCTCATCTAACGATCTTGACTTCCACCCATCTCCACGTTCATGGCACACTATTGACCTTACCATGACCATTACTAATTGATTTGTATGAACCTTCCACCCCGTGAGATTCATGTGTTAACGTCATAGCCTCAGTACCTCAGAATGAGAGCTCGTTTGGAGACAGGGGTAGTGCAGATGTTACTAGGTAACCTGGCGCCATTGCAGTTGGCCCTGATTCAATGTGACTGGTATCATTATGAAGAAGGAAAATCTGGACCCAGAGGCACATACATAAGGATAACACCATGTGAACATGGAGCCAGAGTTTGTGGTGGTGCCTCTATAAGCCAAGGAATGACAGAGGTTGCTAACAAGCCACCAGAAGCTGGGGGAGAGGCATGGAAGACATTTTTCCTCACAGCCCTCAGAAGCAACTGACCAATTCCCTGATGTTTAAGACATCCAGCCTCCAGAACTGTGGAACAATGTATTTTCATTGTTTAAGCTACTCAGTGTGGTACTTACTTTGTTACAGAAGCCCTAGGGAACTAATAGAATCATCAGTAGTTTACAATCCTTCCATCACCTCAGATTCAAACATTTAACTGCCGTGCCCTCCTCTTACACTTAGTACTATTAGTGTTCAAATTCTAACCTGTCTTTGTCACCAAGACCTTTAACACATTGATGCTATTACTTTCTCACTTTTCCTCACCCCCATCATGTCCTCACACCTCTTCCCATTCAGATGTATTTTCAACACAGCAGCCAACAAGATCCTGTTTAAACATAAGTATAATCATGATACATTTATGTTCACTGTCCTGAGGCTTACAAAGTCCTTTAAGAGCATCGTTTGATTGAATTTAAATCCTGAAGTGTTTGCATATTTTTGAACAAGAGGGATCTTCTTGTTTGTCAGTAGCCACCTACTGTATGCAAATAAAGTGGGGGCAGAGGTGATTAGGAAAAAAAAGTCATTAACTTTTTTTTCCTTTTTCTAGTCAATGTATTTTCCAATTCATGCTATAGGGGATTTGGACCAGGACCAGAATGGTCTTGGTTATTGTTATTTCTTGTTCTGCTTCTTCAGGTGGGTAAAGGTGTTGCTCTGGGTAGAGCTGGGGAGAAGACTTCCACCTTACCTCCTCTAGTCTGCTCTGGGAACATTTTAAACCCGAGAGTTCTCCTTATGAGTACTAAATTTCAGGATTTGTGTAAAAGGACTTGAATTTTCTTTCTGGGGGCAATCAGGAAGTCAGAGCAGCAGCACAAGCAAAGGTGCCTAGCCCTCTCTCTAGGAGGACAGGCCTAGCTGCTCGCAGGCATCCTTACCTCCAGGAAAGGGTCCCTGCAATCCTGGCTGGAGACCAGCAGGCCTGCTCCCTGCTCTGATGTTACTCAGAACTGAAACTACAAAGCAAGTGGGTTTCATTTTATAAAGTGCACATTAAAATTATGTATTTCTTCTTCACATAGTCTCTGTATCAGCTAGTTATGAAGGAGAAAGCCTTAAATAAAATAATTAAACTTTGGAGGGCTTAATCTTTAACAAAATGTAAACTTTTGATATCATCTTCATTATGTAGTGGGAGAGAGTGTGGCATAGCTGTGCTTGGCTGTGTTGGATGAGTTCCATTTCCTCAAGCATTTGCAACAGTCGTGTTCCAGGAAACACCTCCAAGGAAGGAAGGACGTAGACAGAACATGCCCAGTTTTCTCCTAGTTTTGGCTGAGGATGTATTTGTTGAGAATGTGTTATATGAACAAAATTATGTCATAGCAAATTAAAATGCACTTGATTGGCCTGTTGCTTAGGAACTGATTATGGGACATTTTTCCCCTTAACGTTTGCTATGAAAATTTTCAAACATGCAGAAGATTTGAAAGAATAGTAAAAGGAACATCTTTCACCTAGCACATCTCTTCTATATTGAAATATTTTAATAAAATAAATAAACAATCATAAATATGTAACCAACTCACTCTTTCTCTTTCTCTCTCTTTCTTCCCTCCCTCTCTTCCTCCCTGTCTCTCTTTTCTTCCCTTTCCTTCCCTTTCCCTTTTCCTTTTCCTCCCCTTTCCCTTTCCTTTTCCTCCCCTTTCCCTTTTCTTTTCCTTCTGCATTCCATGTTCAGTGTGGAGCACATCCTGTAAGTTGTATCTTCAAAACATGACCCGCATCTGACCACAGTTCACCATGCCCACCTCCCCCACCTGGTCCAACCCTCCGTCTCCTCTTCCTGGATTGCAGGAGTAGCACCCTCACTAGTTTCCCTCTTGCTGTTTTTATTCCCTCTTGTGACTTCTAAACACAGCAGCCAGAGTGAGCTATTTGAATGTAGATAACATACAGTACTCCGTTCAGTCCCTCTAAGTGGCTTTCCACTTGACTCAGGGTGAAAGCCAAGCTCATTGTGAACCCAAGGCCTTCCAGGACCTGGCACCCTGTTACCCCATCTTACTTTTCTTTCTCTCTCTCAATCAGGCCCAGCCCCCTGATTTCTTTGTTGCTCCTTGCAGGCAGTACCTGCTGCTGCTCTGGCACTGCACTTGTTTCCTTTCCCTGGAATGTCCCTGGATTCCACGTGGTTCAGGACTGCACTGGGCTTAGGTCTCTTATCAAATGTCACTTGTCACAGAGGCACTGCTTGGCCTCCCTACAGAAAACTATCTCGTCTTCCAGTATTTCTCATTTCTCTTCCTGCTTAAAAAAATCTACTTATATCTTATTACAAGCCAGTGTTCCTTATGTTTTTACCTATTTGTCTTATTTAGTCTCTTTCCCATCCATTATTTTGTGTGCTTCACAAGAACAAGAGTTTTGTGCATTTTGTTCACTATTTTACAGTGCCCAGAACAGAGGAGCTTCATAACAAAAATTTATCTGATGAATAACATTTTTAAGAGAAGTTAAAAATAATGAGTTTTTTTTATAACCCTTGAATTATCAGTGCCTGTGGGCCAAAGGACTAGGGCAGTTATTTCATTTGGCTGAAATCCAGACAAAAATCCAGAACAATCTTCACTGGGCTACCTGTTTGGCCAGAACTAACTCTACATTCAATCTTCTGGTAACAAATAATAAAAAGACAATCAGAAGGAAATGAATGTTATAAATGTTTTTTTTGAAGTCCTCTTCAGTACCCCAGTTTCATAATATCCCGTTTCAGTCTCTGCTCTGTCTCTAAACAAGGCCATTACTCTTGATGTGTTTTCCCCAGAGGAGGTCCCTCTCTACTGCAGGTCCTTGGTGTCAGAGCCTCGGCACCTCTGCTGTTTTCATCTGCTGCCTCTGCACAGGGAGGCTGACCCTGGAGAGGGGCTTGCCCCTTTCAGCAGACACACTCTGATCAGATCTGATAAACTCTTCAGTAATACCTTTGGACTGATAGTGTGAAAGGTTTGTCAACTCCCTTCCTTGCACATGGTAACAGTTGTGAACAATGATTTGAATGTATTATATTCAATAATGCTTTTGAAATAGTTTGTACTTTATCAACAGTAAGAAAATCTGCATGTATATTGTTGGTGCTGATTAAAAATCAAAATCACCATTACTGTTGTGCACAATTGAAAATGACTTGAGCTAACACTTGGCTTCCTAGGGGCCGTCAGCCTCCTGTTTTGAAATAATTGTGAACATAAATCTAATTGGGAATAGTCACATTAATTACTGGTGAAGGATTGGCATGATGCCATTCTGGAGTGTTTATTTTGTTTTTCTCTTTAGATATTTTGATATTTAGATATTAAATGTGTAAATTAACACAGTTCTTAGGGACAAGTGCTGGTACCCACCCACTGTCCTCTGGGGGAGGGTCCTCAGTGGCACTCCAGACAGCCCTGCCCTGTGGGGTTGTTCTGCTCCAAAGGACCAGGACTTTTGCAGCTGGTAGTTCGGGAAGACACATTCAGAATCCTGGCTCTTGTCCTAGAGGACTATACGCAGACTTCTCTAATGAGCAGTAAACTATACATAAACAAGTTAAGTTTCTCTAATGAGCAGTAAACTATACATAAACAAGTTAAGTTTCATTTCCTGAAGTTGTTTTCATTTAAGTTTTTAACCAGATTGTTGTATTGACATAAATTTGAAATAAATGCTTTATGTAGGAAAATAGCCTCTGCAGGATATCTTTGATGAGATGTAAAATTTTAATAACATCTTAAGCTAGAGCAGACAAAAGTTTTCATAACTGTACATGACCCTTGGTTTCTTCACAGTCTTCTCTAAGGCCAGATAGATAGCAAACTAAGGCAGAGTGGAGGGAGACATGGCTTACTCACTGACTCAGCTGTCCTGAGTCTGGTCAGATAACACTGCCAGGTGTTTTGAAAATCATATAAACCATGATAATGCAGGAGGAGGGGAACCCTTGAAATTCTGTATGTGTCATTTCCACTGTCTGGGAAAGAAAGTCTTTGAAACTATATATTCATTCCAACATTGGGAGAGCGCAGGAGAAGGGGAACTTAGAAGCTGTTTACAAGCATAAAACCCCTAAAATCCCGGTAGTTGGGGCATTCAGACCAGCTGGGTGCCTGCCTGCAACTTCTTGCTCAAGTGAGTTTCATAAGTAAACTTGCACTCTCATTTCCACTGTCCAGTTACATCTTGGCTGATTTCTTCTCTTGAGCAGGACAAGTACTGAGGTGCAGGAGCCCCCTAACTTGGGTCTCCCCAGTAACACTTATACTTAAACTCCTGAACTTAATGACATTGTTTCTCTAAAGGTCTTCCCCACTCCGTACCCAACCAAAACACTCTCCTTTCCCTAAGTCCACTTAAAAAGTTAGCCTCAGTTACAATTTTGTCCATTTGCGTTTCTAATTAATTTCGATATTTTAAAAACAATGGTTTATGTCCAAACACATGTGTTTATATAAAATGTACAGCTGGAGTTTAACAACATAGTTTTGTCTCAAAAGCATAAAAATCAAGTTTGATTCAGCGACTTACCAGGATTTTCCTGAAAGCTTTCTCTTTTTATATCAAAAACTTGAAACAACTTCTTTTAGCAGTCCATCGCCTTAACCACTCGGCCACCTCGTCCCAACTTCTTTTAATCTTGGTTTTCTTACTCCTCTTCTTATGGCTCAGAGACATACAGTTGTAAGGATCCTTATTTAAAAATTAAGTCATTGAGTTGTGAAATTTTCTGCCTCCCACTTTCCCAACTCTCCTGAGGGTGTGAGAGAGCCGCAGGGCAGAAGCAGAATGGGGAAGGAGGAACTGTGTTCTGACTCTTCCTGAGGGTGTGGAAGACCTGCAGGGCAAAAGTGCAATGAGGAAGCAGGAATGCAGGGAGTTTTTCTGTTTTGCTTGAGATGGTATGTATTTAGATTTGGAAGTACATAAAATATTTACAGAACTGACATTGCAAAAATTATCAATACATTTGAACAATTGCTTAGAAATAGTTAGTTTACCAGACAGTATTTCAAATCATAAGAATAAGAAACTAGCCAGGAGGTGGGGTGGGGGAAAATCTACAGAAAAAAGAAATCAGAAATACCAAGAAGAAATTAAAATCTCAGTGTGATGAAGCACCTTTTGGGGATGAACTGTGTCTCTCAGAGCTCTTAAGTTGGAGTCCTCATCCTTAGCACCTCAGCATGTAACTTTATTGGAAGACAGAATTTTTGAAGGCAAAGTGAGCTCTATCGGTTGGACCCTAATCCAAGGTGATTGGTGTCCTTGTAAGAAGAGGAGATTAGGACACAGACACACACAGAAAGACCAGGTGAGGGCACAGGGGGAACATGCCATCTATAAGCCAGGGAGAGAGGCCTCAGGAGAAACAAATTCACCACACCTTCATCTCAGACTTCTAGTCTAGAATTGTGAGGAAATAAATTTCTGTTTTTAAGCCAGCGAGTGTGTGTACCACTTAGCTCTAGCAAAGTACTGTAGTGTCCCCAAATTCTTCTTTTACTGGATCACCATTTAATTCATTGTCTTTTTAAAATGAAACATTACTTTTCCCATTATGAATAAGTGAGTTCATTTTGAACCTTGAGGTATACTAAATATACAAAGAAGGGGGGGAATCCTACAATCCAAACACAAATTCTGTTTCCCACTGTTTACTTTTAATTTTCTATAAATACCTTTAAAATGTATATCTATTTAATATTTAGAACTTTTACCAAGTCCTGAAGCTTAGAGGTTCAAATAGACAGTGCACACTGCCCAGTGTCTATAGTTCCTTATTAAGCTTCGTCTCCCTCTCTGAATAAGCATATTCATAATTCTCTGCTTCCCACCCCCTACCAACTTTGACCCCCATCACTCTCACCTGATGACACTTCTTTCTACCTGAAGGACAAATCTGAAGCCATCATGTAACAGAGGGATCTGACCAGATCACTGGGATCAGGGGAGGATCCCTGGAAGGAGCACCAGAGCCTGCACCCTCCCTTGGGACCCCCAGGAGGGACCAAGTAGCACCGAAGGTGGTGGGATTGAAAATTGAAGCCACATGGGAGTGCGAGAGCCTCCCTTTCCCAGAAAAGGGAAGGGCTGTAGGGAGAGGCTGCTCTGGAACCCAGCAGCCTGGCATGCCACAACAGGAAAAAGGCAGATGCTGGGACTGCCAGCTTCCTGGAGGCAGGGTCTCCCAGTCTCTGTGGGAAGGTGGAAGCCCAACTTAGATGTGTTCTGACTAGCAAACCCAGATGGCCTAATGACACAGGAAAACATTTGCAAACTCAGGAGTTAACGTGCCCCACACTTCCCACTGACCAACCTTCTTCCCCTGGTACTTCAGTGTTTCCCATTGGCTCACCCCAGGGCTTTAAAACCTTTCTACCTTTTGCTTCAGCCCAACTGAGTTCAATCTCTCTCTCCCCTTTTGGCATCGCATTGAATAAAGTCTTAGTTGCCCACTTAACCTCATCCAGTGAACTTTTGGTATGGGCACTCTTCATTTCAGGCCACTGCCCCAGATGGACACTTGCTTATTCTGCTTGGGCTCTGATTTCCCACACCAGGCCAGCCCTTCATTTAGACAGACACCTTGCTCATGGTGATTGAGCTCTGTCACCCCACGCTGGGCTGCCACCTTGCTTGTGTAGCCTCCTCACCCCCTGTGGCTCTGACTCCCCACACTGGCTCACCCCTGCAGGTGGATACCGTTTTCACACTGTCCAGCTTCTGCCTCCTCATCCGAGATGACCCCTCTGAGGGGCTACCTTCCTGTGCCCTGACCTACTGGGCTGGGCCGCTGAGACTTTCCTTCTCTTCCAGCAGACATCTACCTTTTCCTGCCCATGCAGTGGTTGTAGGACTGAACTGTTTGAAAATGAAGGAGAAGGAAAGAGGAAGAAAAGGGGGAAAGGAAGAGTTCATTTATTTTATTCCAGATGCTCTTGCCCTAGCTGAACATTAGAAATGCTTATAGAACTCTTTAAAATTACTGATGCTTGGTTCTTTTCCTAAAATTATATGTTTTACCAAGAGGTCCTATGCATCTGCTTCTTTTGAAAATTCCACACGTGTTGTTTTGTTCACTCTGGGCTGAGAACCACTGTGCGTTAGGGACAAATAGGAGGCATAGATGTAGGAATGCAGGTCAGTTTGAGGATCAGGAACATGGAGCACACAAGAAAGCCCATCTGATGCTTTACAGAACAAAGTGGTATTGGGCTGTTTGCTGCCAAACACAAAAATAACATGAAGATTGGTGGGGAAGGAAAAAGATTTTTATTAAAAGATGGCCCAATTTGGGGGTATAGGGAATCCCATGCTTCAACCCAATCTCTTCCACAAAACACAAAAACTCGCTAGGCTCCCACTGGAGGAAAGTGTGAGTGGCAGGCACTCCTGTCCCCCAGCTGCACTGGAACTGTCACCAGCCACAGGCTGGCAGCAGCCCCTGTAGCTTCTGCAGAAAGGGCACAGAATTGCCTGCCCTGCACTGGTTGCATGAACTGTGAGTGGGCAGCAGCTCCTTCAGCCTTTTTTGTGTGGAAGGAGCATAGGGCCTAATCCTGACCACACTCCCTGACCCTCTGGCCCAAGTCTACTCTCCCACCCTCTACAGGAGCCCACTGTGCCCTTGCCAGACCAGTCCCAGAGCACTTGGGGAGCAGCACAGGGCCTGTTCCTCGAAAGGCCTGTTGGCTCAGGATCCTGAGACCCCATCCACTGACAAGCCAGCCTGGGTGGGGGAGAGGGATGAGAGTGAGCAAAAGTGTGCAGCATTTACCATCACTCTGCCTTTAAAGCCTTGCCCAAAACCCATGAGCAGCAAAAGCAGATGGGACGGTATGTACTTCCCATTCAATTACCTCACCAGCCTCTAGTGCCAGTCCTATGTGACTCTTTTGCTAAGTCATGCGTGCATTGTCCCAGTTGCTGAAGTGCACATGCATGCCCCACCTTCAGTGCTTCTCCAGATGGCCCCATTTCCAGGGAAGTTCCCTCGTAAAAACTAATGGGAAAATGCTGAACTGCCAGCAGGTAGGGTTGGTCAGTGTGGAGCACATTGGGCAACTCCTGAGTTTGCAAATGTTTTTCTTGGCTATCAGGCTATGAGGGTTTTGTTAGTCGGAACCCATGGAGGTTAGGCTTCCACCCTCCACAGAGACTTGGGGACAGGGGTGCTAGCTCCTTTGATGTTTACATTTCAGAGACATGGTTTCCTGGTGCTTGAGAATGGCAATCCTGGGTTGTAAAACTGGCAACAGTCTGGGAGAACATTTTACGTGCAAATGAAATAAACAGAGAAAATATTGGAAATCACAAATTTTCTAAGAGACTTTCCTTATCTTCCACCAGACATTTACCTTTTTCTGCCCATGCAGTGGTTGTAGGACTGAACTGTTTGAAAATGAAGGAGAAGGAAAGAGGACAAAAGAGGAAGAGGAAGAATTCGTTTATTTTATTCCAGATATTCTTGCTCTGGCTGTACATTAGAAATGCTTATAGAACTCTTTAAAATTACTGATGCTTGGTTCAGTGCTAGAGTGTTCTAGAAGGAGGGAGACCTTTAGCCAGGTGCCTGTACAAAGGTTAGTCAAGGTGAGGGAATAATTAAAGCCATGTTGATCAAGAGTCAGAGCTGAGTGAAGAAAGGAGTGTATCTGTACTGGGCAGGGGACCGCAGCATTGAGGTAGAAGATTGATTACATTGAGGAGTTGATCAAATAAAGTGTTACATAAAGAAATGAATGCCAGTTTCTCATTAATGGGGAAGTGAATTACAAATACAGAAAGAAAGTAACTTGTCATATAGCACTAAAATTGAAAATATCAGTGTGAACTCTTGCTTCTCAATATATTTAAGTATAGAAATAAGTATAGCAATAAGTACAGTTGTAAATGTCTTTTCTAGGATTGTTCAATGACAGGGGAGAGGAGACACCTCAATATCAATGTACACCACTAGCACACAGATCATGGCTTCTAAATGCTTTGTTTGTTTTTTCTTTTCTTTCTATGAAGAACCAGGGAACCCAGGATGGAACAGGAAAAGTACCAGATAAACTTGGAACGGTGTTTGTGCCAGAAAGCAAAGAAGGGCACAAACAAAGGTGGAAGTGTCTAGAGGTCTAAAAGATTGACTTGAATAGGCCCCTACTGGCCAAATCGAGGTAATTTGAGCATCAAATTAAATAACAAAGTAACAGATTTCAATCCACTAAATGAAATAGAAAACCATAAGTCTGTACAGATGCAAAAAAAAAATAAATGAGTATGGGGGAACAAATATGAAGGACACGGAAATAACTAAGGGGGGGTGGAAATGGGAGGGAGGTGGGGAGCACGGGGCGGGGTGGGCTGGGATGGGATGGGAGAAATAGACAGAAAACTGTACTTGAAAAATAACTAAATAAAATTTTAAAAATAAATAAAAATGAAACAATAAAAAAATAAATGAGTAAATAAAAAGTTCAGTGAGAAATAGCATACTCAGAACTTTTCAAATTCCTTCTCTACAAAATACTTACTAGTGACAAAGGGGAGAAAGGCTAGTATTAGAGTAGAGAAGCCTGGCCACTATGCCTTTTCA